AACCCCTCAGCAAGAATTCCTAGAACTGTCATCCTTAGGGCAAAAGGGTTAGGTTTCATCATTTGCAAATCACAAACTACTTCTAAGACCATAAAATATTGACAAACCACCTAGGGAGTGCTTTTCCACTTCTGAACTGCCTGGCCCAGGGCCCCTGTTCAATACTTAGTGCTATTTTTATTAGCCATTATTCTTCGGCAGGTCAGAGGGTAGCCTGCCTTCATTCCTGAGCAGTAGAGACACCTCTGGATATTAATAATAATTTTAAAACCATTTATTGAGTGTTGCTTTTGGGCCAGACACTATCTTAGGTGTGGTCCAAGCAATTTTCTCATCAAGTACTCATGGCACCTACCCCCTAGGATTTAGATACTGTCCTCCCTATCTTAAAGATATTAGCTAAAGGTTATAGAAATTGAATTATTTTCCCAAGGACACAGGAGCAATAAGTGGCAGATTCGGAATCTGACACCAGAGCTTCCTGGCTGCAAAGTCTGAATTTGCAGCATTGCACCGCAGAATTTGAGCTTTTATATAAAACAATGAAGATAGAAATGGCAACGTCATTGTATTGTGCTGGTTTGCTCTGGACTGGGGAATGTAGAGGATTCTCGAAGTATACTCAGAGTAGGGAGGGAGGTGGACCTTCAGCTACTGTATGAAAGGCTCACCACACACGGTGTGAAGCACTGTCAACCAAGGGCTGTGTCAGCCCTTTTCCATTTTCAATACGTTTAAAAAGTATTCTTATAAGCCCATGTGGTTGGTACTAATATCCCATTTTATATATAAAAAAAAAACTTAGGTACTAAGTTCGCTAATGAGAATCTGGGTGGGATCAGGCCCCAAATTCAGATATGTCTGACTCCCAAGTATACACGCTTAGTTATCACGAGAAGGCTCAATGGACTGCTATAGGACTTATTTGTAGTTAGCAAGGGCTAAGTCAGTTAGGCATCTGGGGTATGGAACGAGTGGGGTGCATTCTTTTAATGAAATCATCTATGCCTTTAAGAATACCAACAGAACCTGCAGATCTTCTAAAAATAAAAACCCAGTGCAATGGCCTCCAGAGATCTATTCTACAATGATTCCCTAAGTATGGAGGATACGAGCCGATAAATGACACAGTCAAGGTTGTTCTTTACACTCCAGTCTGGACTTGAGCATGAGATAACCTTTGCTTAGTGGGACATTAGCAAACATAGTAAGCAGACTTCCAATGCTTCATGGAACCCTGAAATGACCATAGGTACAACCCAAAAAAATAGCCAGAGAATGAAGGACGGAGAACCAAGGCACCTGGACCAGCAACCTGCCCACTGCCAGGCACATGAGTGGGCTCATCCTCAAGCATCTAGCCACCAGCCAATCCATCGGACACCCACAAGCACAGATAAGGACCCCAGGACAAAGAGCTCACATGACTCATCCTAGTCCCATCCTCAATGATACTTCCTCCCTTTCTGATTCTGAGATCTTGGAGACAGTGAGCATGGTCCACAGTCTCCGTGCTTTGTGACCTAACACTGTCCCTGAGGAAAGCTATGCAGCTCTACAGAAATGACTCTAAGAGCCCCCCAAGAAGAATGATAGCTTTCCGTCTGAGACTAAGAATGACGAGACAAAGTTTTATTCTGGTAATTTTTTTTTCCTTATTGGGTTGTTAGATGTGTAGGATCTGGGAAGAAATTAGGAGGAAAAAGAATACTATCAAAGTATATTATATAAAAAATTAAAATAAAACATTAATTTAAAAAATCTGTAATATTAGGAGAAGAAGGAGAAAGAGGCCTATGGAAGAGCAGAGACATCATTCACGAACTCTGCCGTGTTTTGTGCTGTGTGGCGTCAATGGTAAGTGCTATATATTTTGTCTAGTCTCATTGCTACTGAATGGGCCCATCGGGAGCTAGGTTCACTGGGACAGTGATTGGCTCATAAAGTTCCCTTGGTATGTCACAGTCTGATTGCATCTGTAGAGAAAGTCACATAAGTATAAACCTATAATGGTGCCCAGAATATATCCTCACTCAGGTGGCGCTTGGAATGGTGGAAAACAGAGGGCGGAGTCCTGCGTGCTCTTTTCCCTAGACAAAAACATGCAATTTCATAAGCTTGCTACATACTTGGTATTTCAAGGTCACAGAGGAGGGAAGGGCACCCTTCTAGACCTGCCTGAGCACCAGAAGCAGCCAAAGACAGCCTGTCCAGGTGGACAAGCAGGTGTGTCCAGGTCTTTAATCATGCCTCCAACCACAGGCAGAAAAAAGGTCAATGAACCGAGTCAAGCCAGTTCAGGAGTCTGGACCAATTCATCATTCTTGCTGCCAACAGACCTTCTTTGAATAGCACCCCAGAGCGTCTCTGCAGTCAGGCTGCCAAATCCTATGCATAGAGACTGTGGGGAGCAGTTTCTGCTCTCCCTATGCCTATAGCAAGAAATGTCTGCGTTCTTCCATTCATACCAAGTTACTCCTTATGTTACCCATGAAGCCTTCACACGAAAACCTGCCAGATGGTCACTAGAAAGCCTGTTCATTCTCTAGACTTGCTTGCTCTGATCTTGCTGTCCACACATATGCCCTGGAGTAGACATCACTGACATCATTATCACCATCATCATCACCTCCACCATCACCAACATCACCACCACCACCACCACCACCACCAGCAGTACCATCATCATCTATATAAAGATCTTGTACCGAACACTGTTTTAGGAGGTTTCAGAGATATTAATGCATTTGACACTCATAACAACGGTTAAAGTAATGGCTATTTTACTCATTTTTTTCAGCTGAAGAATTTAAGAGATTTAAAATAACTATCCGAAGGTTATACAGGTTTACATCTAGGAGGGCTGAATCTATATGCTATTCTATAGGCTATAGTTTTACCCAGAGTGCATAATACTGCTTTTTCTAGGGTTTCTCTAAGAGGCCTTCTATCCTCACTCTTTTACCATGGAATAAGCATAAGAACTCTGATCTCTGGGAGTAGATACATGTATTAGGGTTCTCCAGATAAGCAGAGCAAAGAAGAGAGATGTAGCTACAGATATCTAGATTGGTTATCTAGATTGGTTATATGAATCTGCTCACATGACGATGGAGGCTGAGAAATCTCATGATCTGTCATTTGTAACCTGGAGACTTAAAGGGCCAGTAGCACATTTCCATCAAAGCCAAATCCAAAGGCCAGAGAGGCAGAAAGGTCCACAGTGTACATCCTGAACCAAATCTGAAGGCCTCAGGCCTGAGAACATTGACATTGAGATGCAGAAGTACAGATGTCCTGGTTCAAACACAGAGCGAGCTCACCTTTTGCCTGCCTTTTTCTTCTGCCTGGATCTTCAATAGACCATGGGCTGCCCACCCATACAGATGACTTGAACACTAAGCTCTTCTGAAAAACCCCTCAAAGACCCGTCTATAAATTGTTTTATTAGCTCTCAAGGCATCCCCTAACTAAATCCAGCCAAGCTAATACTTGAAAACAAAAAAACAAAAACAAAAAATTGCAAATAACCATTGTAAGCCCATCCTGTTTAAACTTGGTATCTACCTTTTTGAATTACACTTAATTTCAAAATAAATAACAATGAAGTCATCAGTGCACTTAACTTCTATTAGATCTGAAAGAACCACACACTGATCTCTTCCCTGGGAAATGAAGTAAGGGCCTTGAGACCTGATCACTCTTCTCTTGATATTCTGGACTTAAATACTAAGGTGTAAAAAGCAACAACTTAAGTACTGATATGAAGTCAATACATCTAATCTTACATGCCAAAAGACTATGAGGAGAAAGGAAACAGATACTTGTATAATGGAGATTCATAGATGTGCAAAATGTATTCATAACAAGATACACTCGGTGATTGCAGTTTTTATTTCTAGAGCTGGTTTCAAGCGCTTGTAACTCTCCTCTACTCACTCTACATTCCCTCAGCTGTGAATTAAGAACCTCAGCTGAGGGTGCTTCTTTGCCAGAGACAGTGGTCTGGCTCCTCATTTCTGAAGGGCCTGGGCCATGTAATCCTGTCTCAGTTAGGCTACTTAGAGTTTTCTGTAGTCTCTAACCACAAGTCATGTTGATGCCCTAAGAAAACCCCTGTGCTTCAAGCACATTTTTCTTTTCCTCCTCTATACAGGACCGCTCCTTAAAGTCAGCAAGTTCAGTTACTACCGTCCTGGCTCATTGGCTCAGAGGCAGAGGAAGCCCAAAGTAGGACCATAAGTGTTGTTTTATGAAAGAATTTCTCCCTGAAGAATTGAGGTTTCTAGGCTATGAGAGGACAGTGTCTTGGAGAGAGGGACCCACATGTTTGCAGATGGATTACCAGGAGTAACAGTGAATGGTCTATAGTGAGTGACAGGCTCTTGGCCATCAGGGAAAGAGCATGCATTGACGTTAATTTTGAGAATCCTTAGTCACTTGTTAACCTTGCCTCAATTCCAGAAATTCCAGAGTCTGAATTTCTATTCATCTAGAATCATTCTTGGCACAAAATTTCCTGTTTGAGCCTGTTTGGGTTACCAAATGAAAACAGGTGAGTTTTAAATCACACACACACAAAATGTATTTCTCGTGGTTTTAGAAGCCAAGAGGTCCAAGGTCTGGAGAATGGCAGACGCAGTGTCTGGTGAGAACCCACTTCTTACATTGCTAGTGCCTTGATGTACCTCACATGACAGAGAGGGTGAGGCATCTCTCGAGGGTCCTTTTCCTAGAGGTGTAGATGCCATCCATCCATGAAGGCTCCTCATGCTTGACCTAATCACATCCTAAAAGTCTTTTCGCTAATACTGGAGGGTTAGAATTTCAGCATGAATTTGGAGAGAGACAAAACATTCAGACCATCAGCAGATGATCAGAGCCTGCCAATTAGCACAGCCCACTCTTCTGGCCACGCCCCTTCTCCACTTTCCCCTACTGATAGCAAACCTATCAAAGTGACTATGAACCAGAAAAGAGTGGTCACCACAGGTACTCACATCAGAGGCTGGGCCCTTGTCCGCACCAGGGCAGGAGAACGTGACGAATTCATGGCAGCGCTTGTGTACAACAAAGCAGCAGACTGCAGAAGAAAGCACAGGGGAGACAAAGAAAGAAGCCGTTAGGTTGCTCCAGATGAAAACCATGCAAAATAACATCAGCTTCTACCTCATGACATCCTGCACAAGCATTAGATGTCTAAATTAAGTAGGGGGTGTTGGGAGACAGCTCAGTGGGTAAAGTAGTCAGCATACAATTGTGAAGACTGTCATTTGATCCCCAGACCCACTTGGCCTATAAGTTTGCTCCCCCACCTTAATCCCAGTGGCCCTCAGGAGGCAGAGATGCAGAAGTACAGATGTCCTAGTTCAAACACAGAGCGAGCTCACTCTGTGAGCTCTAGGGTCAGCTATCTAGCTAGACTAGCTAGAACTGGCTAGCTCCAGATTCAGAGACAGAGACCTCTGCCTCAATAAAGAAAGTGAAGAGCAACTGAGGAATACAGGGTATGTCACCTTTGGGTTTACACACACACATATACATACACAAACACATGCAAACACACATAAACACAAACAAACACACACATGCATACACACACACACATGCACTCACCTCTACCTGCCTCCACTGCACACATACACATGCCAACATGTATACACACACATATTTGTATGCATATGGAAAATTAATTTGGCTAGTGTGCTAAGAATCATATATACCCTAAGTTACAACCCCTTGGAGATCACTTAGAGTGCCTGCCTCGTCTTTCAGTGGCTTGGAAAAAGGATGCTGTTTTTTAGCTCAAGTACCAGATGAAATCATTTGCTGGTATTTAGGTCCATAATACATAAGGAACATGTGTGTTTAAGCATTAGACTCCTACCTGGAGGGATGATTAGAACAGGAAGGGTGTGGAGGAACAGTAAGAAAGAATGGCAGAGGCGTGCTCCTCTCACCAGATCAGTATCAAGTCAGTGTAGGAGTAGAAGAAACAGGCTCCAATCTGGGGGCGAGGCTCGGAGTGGAGAGCCTGCCTAGCTTGTTGGAAACTCTGGGATGAAGAGGAGGAGGGGGTAGCACTGGGAAGAAGAAGGAAGATGAAAGGGAGGGCAGGAGAAAGATGAAAAAGATGGAGAGGGAGAAGAGGAAAGAGAAGGAAGAGGAGAAGGGACCAGAAGGCGGAGAAAAACAAGGGCGTGTGGGAGAAGGAGGAGAGGAAGTAAAGGTGGCAGAGGAGGATAAGGCCACAACATCGCTTGTAATTTGCAAGCAAATACATATAAACATACATGTGAAACCTTGTGAGCTCAAGGCATCTGTGATACAGCTTCACTATCTGAGGGTTACATGGCAAGTGAGGCAGCCAGCGAGTATAGACATGATAAAACACACATTTCACAGTGTTGTTTCTCAGATCTTCTATATCCTTAGACTCCTGGGCTCCTAGAAGATGCGCTGCATTAGGGACCAGCTCAGAGCTTTTGTAAAGCACATGTTCAACAAACAGAGCAGAAAATTCCAAACTACTTGTAGAGATGGGACTGTGTGGGCCCATCATCACAGCGTCTGTGAACATTTGTCACGGGATAGTCTACACGGGGTCCTACTACAAAATCACAGGAAGTACAAATGCCAGGAACTAGTTAGTTGCTGTCACCTGGAGGCAGTCACTACCCCCTGCTGCAAGTCCCAGAACACTATCGGCTGCACACAAAAACCAATAAGGAGTCATCTCCAACAAGTAAAGCACAAGGGAAGAAAGGACAAGGAGAAAATAAGAGGAGAAACTTACCTCCCAAGAAATACAAGAAACATCTTGACTACATGCATTATGCATATGCTACTGAATCCTAGTTTTGAGTAAACCAGCAATAATAAAAATCCACCAAGACAATCAGGAAAATGGGTCTATTCACTTGGTTTCTATGATAGTAGGCAATTATTTTTATTGATATTAGAGAACAGATTGCCTTTGGTATGATAGTGGCATGGTGCTTATTCTAACAGCATCTTCATCTTTGAGGGCTACAACCTAAAAGTGCTGTGGATAAACTAATTCACCTCAAAGTAATTCCGTATTCTCAGGAGGGTGATAGATTTAAAAAACAAAAAGAAAGAAGGAAGAAAAAAGACAAAAAAGAAAGAAAGTTAATCACTATGACTCATTAAATGTTCCTGATGGACACATGAGAATTTAATGCCAATCTGGCTTCTTTTTTATATATGCTTGATTGTTCCAGAAAATTCAACTTTAAGGCAGAGACTGAAACAGAGAGAGACTAACACACAAGACACGGGATGGGAGGGGCTACAGCACTGAATGTGCTGCAACCCATGTTCCCCAAGGAGCCTATTATGCACATTGATAAACAGCATGCGAGACTAGTCTAAGTGTGTTAACAGTTATGATGGGGACAGCAGGCGAGATGGCTCCACAGGAGCATCACTCAGTGGACAGGCCTGACAACCTCAACTCAATCCCCACAACCCCTGAAGGAAAGAACTGACTCTTGAAATTTGTCCTTCGACCTTCACACAAGTACACACACACACTCACACTCATAAACACACCACACAACACACATACACACTCACACACATACACACACCACTCCTCACACACTCACTCACATACCGCACACTCACATGCACACACACACCACACACACTCACATACACAGTCACATACACACCAACCCTAACACACACACACACACACATGCATACACACACACACCACACACAGACCACCAACAACAACACCACACACACACACACACACACTGTGATAATACATTTATTTAACAATTGAGATTGGAGTTGACACTCAAGGGCAGAACATTCTCCCAGCATGTATAAGACCCAAAACACTAGAAGTATTAATAACAACAAAATTGAACAATTAAAGATAAAACAAGGTCAAACACACCATATGCAGTTTTCAAAGCAGTGTAAGGAAAACTAGTGTAAAGAACGCATTTCAGGTTCCCTTGGACAGACAACCAGCTGGGGACTCTCCGTTTCCTGTGTCATGCATGTGGATGTTTCAAAATCTACATTTGAGCCATTTCTACTTTAAGCTTTTTAATCTCTCTGTACTTTTTTGCAGTCTGGAGAGCACTGGACTCTATCTCCCCAAAGGTACCCAGTTGTCCCAGCAGCCTTGACTGAATAATTCTATCCTTCTGTATAGATTTCTAATGCCAAGTTTATTAAGTGTTCAGTAATTATATACACTGAGCTTGTCTTCAGGCCTTTAGCTTTGCCCCTGATCTGTCAAGAAGTACAGGATAGTGGGGGGAGGGGGAGTCAATTACAGCAGCTTTAGAACAAACACGTTATGCTCACACTGGGCCCTCTCATTATTCCTATTTTCAGTGTTTTCTTAGATATTGCTGTGGGTTTATCCTTCCAAGTGAACTTCAGAAGCAGTTTATCAAGGTTCTTAAAATACCAACGGGGATTGTATTAGAGCCATGGTAAGTCAATCCACGTTCTACAAAAATAATTGGGGCTTCTATTGAACTGGCCTTACATTTTCAAAATTAGAATTCAAGATAGCTGACACTTTTATAAAAACAAGTCACTCCTCCAGGAATTGATAACTCCCTTGTTAGGAATTCTTGTTTCTCATCTCCCAGAGTGCCTCTCCTTCTCTCCGTATCGCCCCTACGCAGTGCTTCCAGTGGACCATCTGAGGTAGCCCTGTTTTAATCTGCTTTCTTCCTTGTGGTTTCCAACTGCTGCTTTTTATAGATAGGGGAGTAATGCAATCCCACTGCGAGGGTTTTGTAGCCTTTTCAAAACTCATAATCATTGATATGAATTTTTACTTGCCTTCAGAGTCCTACCTAGAAAATTGTATTATCCCAAGTAATCATATTTCCTTTTCTCCTTTCTCATCTATATGCCCCTCCCCCTTATCATATTTCTACATCTAGAACTGTAAGAACACCAGGAAATAAAGGGCCTATAGCTGCCCTTTCCAGCCAGTATCACCCTTATCCCACCTTCTAAGAGGTTCTTACTACCACCAAAGTTGCTTTTTATGACTCCCCAGAATGACTTTTAGTTTGTGTTTATAATTTCTTGGAAACTTCCCATGTGTTTACAATGTAGTATCTCATCTGGCACATCTTTGTTGTCTATTATTTTATTTTTAATGTATTTCTTTTTGGTACTAGTGATAGAACATAGAGCCACTTCCATATTAAATAACTACTGTACACTGAACTAGCTCTCTCTCTCTCTCTCTCTCTCTCTCTCTCTCTCTCTCTCTCTCTTTCTCTCTCTCTTTCTCTCTCTCTCTTTCTCTCTCTTCCTCACTCTCTCCCTCTTCCTCTGTGTGTGCGTGTGCGTGTGTGTGTGTGTCTGTGGTGTACATATACAGACTTGTGGAGACCAATGTTGAGTATCTTCCTCAGTAGTTCTCCACTTCACTTAGTTAGTTAGTTAGTTAGTTAGTTAGTTAGTTAGTTAACTAGCTAGCACTGATTCTGATAGGTTAGGGGCTACCACTCTCCAGGAATTCACTTGTCTCTGCAACCCCAGGTGCTGAGGTTACAGATATGAGCTACTAAGCCTGGCTTTCACACGTGTGTTGCTGATATAAACTCAAATCTTCTTGCTAATTCAACAGTTTACCAACAGAACCATTTTCCCAACCCCTATTTATTTTCACTATGCTGCCTGCTCAGGCCTTGAACATTTGAATCCAGAGTGTTCCTGCATGCTCTCTGGCCTCCCTGTGCTTCTGCTTCCTCTCTGAAAGTTAGCAGTGAGGAACCGGTTCCCGTATCATGGTGGCGTTATTCACACTCAGAGCTGTGCTATCTAAACCTCAAACAACCAACAAATACTAGCTCCTATCACACACGGCTCCCAGAGCTGCTTGAATGGATAATCCAGTCAATTCTTTCCCATCCATCTTCATTTAAAATTGAAAGATCTTTTCAGGTTCAAAACTCTTCTTTTAAGCACACTTTTGGCTGGACTTAAGTTTTCTATTTAGTGTCATTATTAAGTTTCTAAGTGGTCCATCATTACGGTATGGATTTCTTCTTTGATCCGGAATGAATT